GGTTCACTAATAGATTATGCTTTAGCCAAGGAAAGCTTATGTTTAGAAGCTGAATTAAACGCCACTACGATATCAAGAATAAATATGATCGTCATCGGCTTACCACTAGAAATTCAGAACCAACTTGACCGTGAAGAAATCACAACGATTGAAAAATTGTACAGAGAATTGCGAAGACTCGAGGAAAGCGTTCACATAAAACAAAGATTCCGAAACAATTCTTCAGACAAAGAAAATACAATCAAAACAAATGCGTATATACAAAAGAACAATTCAGATACTAAAATTAAGTCAGAAAACCAAAAAGCAAGATATGGAATTCATTCTTTGAATAATGAAACTATAAATAAGTCAAATTTTGCTACATCAGAAAAAAATATTTATCCAAAAATAAAGTCAAATTTTAATACATCAGAAAAAAATATTGATCCAAGAATTAAGAAACCATGTTTTATATGTGAAGAACTAGGTTGGAAAAATCGATATCATCCAACTAACGAATTTTCATTAAAATTAACTTCAGAAATCTCATTTAGTTCAACTTCATCAATTTCTTGTAGTAGACTGAAGTAGACTGTGGAAGAAAAAAAAAAACAATCTAATCTTTTTCATATTAACAAATTGTCACTTTATATTCCTCAAAAAGTAACGTGAAGGGGGGAGATGTAAATGTAACCACATTTATGTATTTATTTCATATCTATGATATTCAATATCTTTGTTATATGTTTGATCTTTGTTTGGGTTTCGATAAATGTGCTTCGATAAATGTGCTGCGATAAATGTGCTGCACCACGTGATTGACATATTTTATAATTTATTTGATTTATGAGTTTCGTATGAATAAGCCTGTAATTGATTACTGTTTTACAGGTATGTTTTCTTTAATTTATATCTCTGTATTATTTTATATTATTTGATTATATGACATTTAATTTGTTTGAATAAACTGTTTTACAGATTAATAAATCAGGTTTTATTTAGAAACAATCTTACATGTATTATATATTTATGTACTAAATCTAATATTTATATAGTTTTTTTAATTCTCTAAATAAGAGCCTTTCAAAGGCAGAGAAAGTAACAACATGCAAGGTAGGAAACATGAAAGATAAGAATTATGATTACAAAAAATGTTAGATGCATTAAGTTGAGGTGATGGGAATTAAACAAAATAGTTATCAATATCACATCGGGTAACCTTTAAGAATCGTTGACTTTTGGTAGGTCGGCAACGGAAAAATTAGAGAAAATTTGCAAAATTGAGCTGAAAAAGTAAGCGCGTAACTTATCATTCTCAACCCTATTCTATCTGGGTGGTTTAATTTTTTTAATATAAAAACAGCCAAATATGTCTAACGTGAAAGCTTTTCCGTGTGATTGTTTGACTATAAATCACTATAAATCACTTTATCGACAAAACGTAATTCCCGCAGACTAAAATGCGTTAAAGTGTTGAAGCAATCAATTTTTTTAAACAAATAAATTTTAACTTTTTTTATCTGATTTAATGAAAATAGTCATTTTCGTATTTCTACATCAGCTGTGCTTACTTAGATAATCATTATTGAGTAATAAGTTTCAGAAAATATGCACCTAAATAAAAACTAAACTGATCAAGTTCACGCGAACGAATGAAGAACGCAGCGATAATGAAGTGAACTGAAATATGAACCTTTATTTAGAAGCAGCGACCGATCTCGTAAACATCCGTCCATTGTTCATCTAGACAACGTACTGCATGCCTAAAAAGAGGCACATCCTTTGCCTAATCATAGAAAATGTTTTTTGAGTTTGAGCCAACAAATTTTTTAATAATTTTGCAATTTTTTTGAAAAAGTATAATAAAAAAAGCTTATTGAGAATAGTTTTTGATTGTAAAACGCAACTGAAACGTATGCTATAATTTAGAAAATTTCTGTTTTTTACTATTAACAATGACAGATATGTACATATTCACACACATAAGTTATCAAAAATCAAGTTTTGTTTGAAATATTAGCTAGCATCTTCGCCGAATGTTTTCAATCAGTGGAAAAATCAATCAAATGACTTGAGGGAAATTTGCATGGTGAATTTGCGTGTTGCTTGGTGCGACTGCGTGTTTGCTTGGTGCATCTGCATGTTGCATGGTGCCACTGCAATTTCATGCCTGCATGCACTTGTTTGCACGTTTCCAACTGAAGAACTGACTGATGCTTTCAACAAATCAACAGGTTGTTAATGCTCTTTGGGTTGTTGTCGATGTGTATGTCATGTTGTTATTTTTGTTATTGTTGTTGGGGTGTTTGCGTAGTTGCTGGTATTGTTGATGTTCATTGTTATTATTATTTGTGATGTTGTTGTTACCGTTGTTTTGTTGTTTATGTTGCTTTTATAGATCAAAATATTTCAAAATTGCGGCGATATTGTTACTTGCTGTTTCTGTGCTTATTTCGTGCAGGATGATTTTTTGTCGGTGGGGAGATGTTTGTGTTGGCTTATAAGGTTGTCAGTCAGTCTTGTTCGTTTTTTGTGTTTTGTCGCCATTAAC